CGCTTAGGTAAGACCTGGCCATCAAAGGTCAGGACAACAGTCTCAGTAGGGACAAATTCAGTTTTACCATTACTTGTTACTTTCCTTTTAAACCGTCTGACCTTTAAAATATCACCACAACCTATGGGAACTGATATACTAGTTTTAACCTCATCATCAGTCCAATCAGTTGGCACTCCTCTAACCACTCCCATACGGGTCACATTAGCTGCTGGTATAAATGCTTTGTAATTATATTGTTTTAACAATGCACTTGAGACAAAACTGTTTGCATCCTCAAAATTTGAAAAAGAAATTACAATACGGTTTCTACCAATTTTTTTCAAACTGCCATTAACTATATTTCTAAACTTGTTCTTTTTCAAAAATTGGCCAAATGAAATCGGGTGAATGTTAGATGGACGCTCATTTGATGGGTCTTGATCTTTAAGCACATGAATTAAGTAAGGGGCTGCATCAGAAGCTTCGTAGCGAGATCTGCCTACAAAAGTCGGTACACGAGGATTTGGGCTTTCAGTGGAGTTCATTGGAATGGGTTCCGACATGGGAGAGTTTGGAACTACAAATTTATCAGGCGGATTAATAAAGATATTAGGCTGGTTACTTTCCGTTTCACATAAACAACTGTTAATTTCATTCGATGAATTTGACCTATGTTTCCTCTTTTTGTTGCAATGTTTACAATACTTGCGGTTTATAGAACGTTTCCGAGTAGAGCTAGATTGACCAGCATCCGAACAATCAGTGTCTCTTTGAGATCCTTCGGTTTCAGAACCTTGTGAGATGGTTACAAAATTAGATACCTGGGGGACGCTGGTCCCGCCAGGATCGNTTGCAGTGAATACTTAGTTATTAAAAACATCACAAAAGTCAACTATATTTTTCGATTATTGACTTTAATAAACGCATTAAAAATAAATTAATGGTTTTTACTTTAAAGAAACACAACCAGTACTTTTTAAGAATCGTTTTTTTGAACATGAACCATGAAATTTGAATATTATCAATAAAAAATTGTTACAATAATATTTGTAATTGTAAAAAACATGTTTTTTGTTAAATAACACCTATACAAAATATTTCTCTAAAAGTAGGTTTTACTAACTCTTCGAAAAAAATCGATAGATAAATCGCTATGGTTTAGTTATGTGACATCTCTAAATCTTTCAAACTCGAAACGTCATACGGATCATCTTAGGTGAAAAAGACTATAACTAAGCAGTAAAGGTATGATTTAGTAGCAGATTCCACGTACCAGCAGCAGACGACGTTTTGTCGGGACCCTACTGGTTTCTATGTATTTCTATGAAATACCATTCGTAATCAGCAACATAATGTTTAAAGTTATTTCTGAAACTGCTGAACAGTCTGCTGCTGCTACGTGGAGTCGGCTATGAACTTCGTTACTTTGTCAATGGCATTTAGCTCATTCGCAAATTCCTTGACTCAATTGAAACTTAGTTCGTTTACCTGAAACAGCGAGCTGGCGTGTAACAAAGTGCCGTCTCCACCTAGACAGATGATGAAGTCGATCTTGTCTGTCAGGTCGTCGGTACCCGCGCGGAAGGTCATCAGGCGCTCGCGCACCGACGAAAAGTCGCCGTATGACGCCAGCAGCGTGTCATCCAGCACCGCTGCTTCTACGAACACTACCATGCTTTTGTCCTGGAAAGAAGACGATGATAAAAAAGTTAAGGAGCAGTGTTAAAAGTCGCCCGGCACGCGAAAGGTCGGGAATTCAATCCCATTTGAGGCAATTAGATTTTAAATAAAGAAAGTGTGTTGAATTGAACAGTCTCAAAAATTCCACAGGGCTATAAAGTTATTCTAACTAAAAAAAAAATCACTATCCTAAATAATAATAATTTAATATCTGGTTAAAGTTTCAATAATATTATCAGATATTATCCACCAAAAATTATTGATTAAGCATCCCGAACACCCCGAATGATTTATAACAAAATAACTAAAAAAGAACTGCAAAGGCAGGGGATTTATAAAAAGAAGATTGTGATTTATTTTGACACCAAAATAACATGGTCCTCCGAAGAAACAAAGATCATTTTAAAAACAATCCAGATCGGCCGGCCAGACATCGGATTGCCCTTTATTATGCGTCGTACGAGTATGCTAATATCGGTCGAAGTGGGAAAGCGAGTTGCATTCGATCTAATTACACAAGGAAAGCAGGTTGAGTAGACCTACTCAAATCTAGATATGGACACAGACATCTTGACATACATATGTGAATGTTGAATGGGATGGGAGGCAACGAAAATGTGGAATGATTTGGCGTGTGCGCGGCAATCTAATAGATAACTTATTTTTTTTTATTTGTTGCAAATACATAAGTAGTGTAATAAAAACAAATGGCCGTTTCATTAACAAAAGGTTGATCAAAGCCACCTCGCATAACGTGGGTGGCTTTGATCAACCTTTGTTTTTGATATATCCCTTATCAAGGCAAAGTGGTGTCCAAGAGACACTACATCTTTTAAATAAAAATCTTAATTATTTACATAGTTTGCACCATTATGTGTGTCCAGAAAATCAATCAAGTTCTCTACAGCTAATTTATTTCTGGCTGGACAAAGAAACAAATATCTTATACTAATCTACCTACTAAGTAGGTACCTACTAATATTACTAATTTACTAATGTTACAAATTTTACTATTGAAGAGTTTGTTTGGTTTAACGCGCTATTCTCAGGAACTAATACTGGTCCGATTTGAAAAGTTATTTTCGTGTTGGATAGCCCATTTATCGAGGAAGGCTTTACGCTATTAACATCACCTTACAACCAATAAGAGCGGAGCAGTAAAGCAAAATGTTGCAAAAACTGGAAATATAATTTAATCTAAGTATTTTCACGCGTACGATGTCGCGGGCAGATGCTAGTCTAGTAAGTAAGTACAGGTTTTTTGTGTTAGGACAACGAAACGTAGTTAGGTCACCTCCACGTCTACTGCGCTAATTATAATTGTACGAGTATGAGGTCGTTGTATGTTGTATCGATCGAGGTTCGCGTGAGGGACAAGCGTCCTCGGTTTAAATGCCCACGTTAGCCGCCTTCCGGGGATATTTAATTAATTACTCGTCTAGTGGCCATCGACTTGGATGACTTATTCATAGCAGTCCCTTTGACATAATCTTTAACGGGATTACGCAGACTGTTTTTCGCTCTAAGGCTGGTTTTAGTTAAGGTTTTAGTGTCACGCGGAACGTCCGGTGCGGACACGCTCCGCACGGCCGGCCGATCTGTATGAACTTCTAGTGAGCGTTTTAGAGTAATTTAGAGTTTTGAGCGGCCTAAGTGCTTTAAATATTAATAATTCCTTCAGTACATTAATCGCAATCCGTTGCATTTGAACGGGTACCTACTAAAGAACTACTAAACTCAAAATCCGACACTTTATTGCCTCGAAAGGTCGTATCGACTTATTGCTACCGTGACTCACTCAAGTAAGAGTGGTTACTTCTCGAGTTTCAAAATAGTTTGTAGAAGCTAACCGTGTCGTTTGACAGTTAATATTTTTAACGATTTGGGTTCGATAATGAAAATAATTACAGAAAATCCTTAAGCGAAAGAAAAAGAAAAACTTCATTAGTAAAATAAAATAAATAACATAACTCTCTCACAATACCTAACTAATGCAATAAACATTAGCTATGTTTTTATCTTAAAATCCATTAGAGTTAATTTCAATTCGTGACTAATGAAAGTTTAAAACAAAAGAAAGTCACGCGTTTCTGAAGAGTTTCAGTTTTATTGCTATACCATTTTGTTTCTTCGATTGGGGATCGATCGGGCTGGTGGATCTGAGTCAACAAACCGATACAAAGTTGAATCAACCTGGAGAACGCTATAATTAGGGCGGGTTTGAATCATCTCTGATGCGGCTTTCCTTGAACTCGTGATTAGTTTCCAGCTATTCCAGCAGTTCATATCCATTTGTATAAGATTTTTCTTATGTTAATATTAGTAGTTTAACGATAATCTTCCTATGCTTCTTATCATTATTCAATTATGAAATCCAAACTCTACAATGTAATTGTTTTGATAAAAATATCGCACGTAGCTTCATTTGTAACTATTATTACCTAAAAATGCGGAAAATTTACCTACACTTTGTTTGTGTCATAAAAATGTAACACAAACACAAAAAAAACAAAGTGCAATTTTTTCGCAGATCATCAATCTTTTTTTTTGTAGAATGTGCACCTCATCTATATTATTCAGAATAAAATAATTTACATCCGTTGTTTGCTACCCCTAACACAGTAGGTACGAGTACAAGCTTTCATAGTCCAGACTCCAGACGGCTATGTTTGTTTATGTAAAATGTCTCAGGATATTTTTTATGTACGGGACGTATATTTTACTTACTGGGGGCCCTGCTCTGAACTAAGGGGGACCCCTCAAAAAAAAAAAAGGAAAGGGCAATTGAAAAAATAATAGGGTTGCTGTTCAAAATGTTTTGACCAGACAGAACCCCCTCGATCGCGAGGCCTGTACCCAGGGAATGAGCTGTAATAATAAGTTCCCTTCCATCACCGGGGAACCAGACGCAGGTTAGCGTACCATCCCTACATTGTCAACATTCCACAAGCTCGCACTGAGCGTTTCGATGACTTTTATAATGCAAACAGCTAGGGGACTATGGAATTCGCTGCCTGCTGTAGTCTTTCCTGAAAACTATAATCCGGGCCTTTTCAAGGCGAGAGTGACTAGGCACATACAGGGCATATATGTCCTAGAATGCATCTCACTTAACACCAGGTGCGATTGCGGTCAAATACCTGCCTTGTCATGCATACAATAAATAAAAAAGTCACTCACATGAACCAGCCAGTGCACGAGCTGCACGAAGGGCGCCAGGATGGTGGCGTCGTGCACCTTCTTGATGACCAGCACCGTCAGCGGCGGCTTGTACCACGTCAGCCGCTGCGACGCCGGGTCCTGGATCTGCCTGCAATCAAAGTCAACGTCAAAAATTGACTATTTAAATAGTACTTACAAATCGTCAAATATTTTGCTCTTAAGGAGCCCAGGTACATGTCTCAATCTTTTTACCCTACCAGCGCTTTGAGACCAACATTTTCTGAGAAGAAGCGCCGCAACAAACTGTAGTGTAGGACCGGGATATGGTTAACACCCGAACGGTGAAGGGGTCGGACTGGCCGACTCGATATCCATTGTGGTGAACTCACTAATTAATGATTGAGTTAATGATTAGGTGGTTACCACGAGGGGTTAATGGGACTATTAGTAAATTTGTAATTAAAGAAAAATAACCACATTTGCTTATCATAATAAGGTTGAAAACCAATGCAAAAAACACCATGATATGGACAGTAGAGCTAGGGTACCTACTTAATAAGGACAATTTCTAAAATAAGGAACCAGACTTGCGTAGGAGTATCGTCAATATAAAATGCATGCGGAACTTATAACTTCATTAAGTATGCACTTGTGTCAAATTAATTGACTTCTGATTCCGATTAAACAAAAAAATGTTACTTACGGTAATTTAATTAATATAATTTATTCATCAAGTAATCATTTAAGTATTAATATTATTTCCTTTTTGAGAGAATTAGATTGAAATAAAATGTTTTTAGTGCTGATGGTAACACAAAATATCGAGTGTGTGTTTACTTACAGCCGATTTTTATTATTGTATTGTTGTGGACCTCATGTATTTGCATTTAGGAATAAAAATAAATTCATTTGAATTATACTTACATAAGTATTCGAAGCGCTTCTATCTACATATTCATTAACTCTACCTATTCGGCAGCGACAGAAATAGGTACAGAATATACAAGTAATAACATACATTGTGAACTCGTTAGCTTTATTTCAAACCCTAGTGGTTTTCAAAACTATCTAAACGTAACCCTATGTAATTATATTTTTTAGTTGAAAAAAAACCTGAAGTGGTAACTTTGCTTTAACAATTTTAATTTTCGATTTTACCTAGGTGCAGCCCCAATAATAGGTATCTGGAGATGTCCATTTTGAACCTTTACATCAACAAAAGGCACATTAAGATTGGTGGAAAGGCCTTGTTGCCAAAATATCGAAAAGAGGCCAGTTAATTTAAATCAGTGTCATTTTAGATCCATAAATACAAAAGTATTTACGCGATAGGTCATCACGACATTTGAATCGTAAAACGTGACGGTTGAATTGAAACTTTACCGATTCGAATTTAAAAATAGACTATTTTAATGACTTAACACTATAATAATGTAGATTTTCGAAGTAAACAAAGTTATTTTATGAAGAAAAATGATTTTTGGAGTAACCATCATCATTTCAGCCATAGGACGTCCACTGCTGAACATAGGCCTCCCCCAATGCTTTCCACGTTGATCGATTGGTAACGAACTGCGTCCAGCGCTTCCCTGCTACCTTTACGATGTCGTCGGTCCACCTTGTAGGTGGGCGTCCTACGCTGCGTTTTGGAGTAAAACAAGTAAAAACTATTATAAATAAGTAAAAGTTACTCACATTACCATTGCCGAGTTTTTCATTATCCTGCCGCATGGTCCGAACTGTTGTATAGGCGAGGGGGCGTTCAGAGATCTAGTTCTCCTGAAACAATAAACAATCACATTTTTTTCAGTTCCTCAAAATCTTCCGAATTGCCCTCGTACATGTCTCGGCGTTACTGACAACAAGGTTTTAGTTCCTTCTGTGGTTCATCCTGGCATTCGAAGATCTCGCACAGGTTTATTAAAAGAAACAGAAAACTATTCATTGAAAAAACTCGTAGGTTCACTACGAGAAAATACGAAGAGTCACGGACAAATTACGTTGATTCACCGTCATTATACCTGAACGTATTCCATGGCGATTGTCGAAAGACAAACCGTGTTATGTTGTGTATCACTTGTCCACATCCAAACAATGTACTGCAAGGAAACGCTATTTTGATTTATTTAATAACGTATTCGTCATTATACTATAAACAGGGTGATACTGTTTTCAAATTTTCAAACTGTAGTCTTATCTTTTTAGCAATGCAAGAGCATTGACAGGATAAATATTATGTCAGGAAATGTAATTCTATAACCTGTTTGGTTTTAGTTTCATCTAGTCCATAAGTTTATTAAACTAGGTTACTGTTTAGTTTAATACACCCTAGGTTCAAAAATAATTGTCTCTATCAACTTCAGTCAAATAGAACTGTTAGTTTTAATGCACCGTTAAAATAATCTTAAAAAGATCTTTCTGCTTCGCTTCAACGATTAATAATTGAGATTGTTATTATTGTTTTCCTGCGTTTCTTTCATTTCTTTCGTTGATCAACAACTTAGTTTTTTTTAATGACATGAATAGGTACATTTTTTTAAGTTATTCAAAATTTGTTCGAAATGCGACTCTTAGGCTGGCTTGCACCATCTTACTTTAACTTTGACAATGGTCAAAAATCTGTCAAAACAAAAAAACACCGGTTATCGTTGTATTTACAGACAAAGTTAGGTGGTGCAACTCAGCCTTATCGCTACAAATTTTTAACGGTGTCTTTCTAAATGAAGCACCCTGAGTAGTGTAGAATTAAAATACAATGCGATGGAACAAGAACCTGACATTAACCTGACGACCTTGCAAATGAGTCGTACAACAGTTTCTGAATGTTGTCTATATGACATGATATCGAAAAACTTTATAAAAACGGAAATCACTGCTTAAGTACGGTTGTTATCGTCTACTGAGGCCCATTGTTATGGATGATGAATCATTAGGAAGGTACTTACTGAGTACCTACTTGTACAGTGTTGTGATACCATAAATAAAGAAAATAAACAGAAATAATTGATTGATTCATCAATTGTTCGATTTCAGAAAAGTTTGTCAGTAAAAAGCTTAGTGAAAGATTTTTTTCAAACTTTCTGCTTGAAAAATCGTATTCACCAAGTAAAGTCACGTTCGTCCGGTGAATCGTTCAATTTCATCTTCAAAAGAAATATCTTTACTATCAATCGAGCAGAAACTTTAGTAGGTACCACTTTTCACTTGACATGATGTGACACTGTTAGCATGACCCTAGAACATTTTTACAAGTGCCTCTGAGTTATGACGTCATAGCACGTTAAGTTTATATTATTTTCTCGGTCCAAAAATCTTGCGCGGTTCTTCGTGCTCCGTTCCCACTGCCCATTGCAAAAAAATTGCTCAGTTGCTGAGTCATCATTTTAATTGCCTATGCCAGGGTTTCCCAATTTTTTTTGCCAAGGAACCCTAATTGATTATACTTTTCCTAGCGGAACACCCGTACTACTCCGCCCGCACGCCCTGCCGCTCCTTTGCGTAAACAAGTCGGTGCGCGCGAACAACGTCGGTCACGAAACGTGGGATAATATTTTTTACGGAACCCTTGCGGCCTTTCCACGAAACCCCAGGGTTCCGCGGACCACCTTTCGGGAACCGCTGGCCTATGACTTTTCTTCTTCTCTAATTTTGAAATATTTTGTCTTACAAAAACACTTAACAAAAAGTATTGGCTTGATCTTTGTTCTAAGCATTGTTTTCTAAATTTGTAGTTAGTAAATAGGTTAATAATACTATGAATGCCCTCAATAACACATTTTTAAAATCAAGTCAATGTAATATAACGTAAAAGGTAGTTTGTTTTCAGGCAATGTTGTAATGTTGTGGTTGAAAAATAAACCATTGTATCAGATCGTGCCGAAATCGGAATACATTAACACAATTATTTTATTAATTAACTTTCATCCGTATTAATAAATTTATTTAATTAAGCACTTAGGTATTTACACAGGATAGAAAGGAAGTCCATTGGAATTCAGTTTTTTTTTTATCAAAACAGGAATGTAAGATGCTAGTGTTGCAATAATAAGGTAAATAACATGTAACATCATATTTGGAGTCATTTATTTATTTATTTATTTCTCGCTTTTTATTGGACTCACTGACCTTTGTTTCTCAACTAATAATAATCTGATAATTTTGAACTTTTTTTTCCAGTATTATATTATAAGTTGGTTCAAAATAATAGCATAGGTAACTCCCGCATTAGGTTCCAGCAATTCATTGGTATTTGAACCCGAAACTGCACTGGACATTGTACCCAGGCTCGCGAACCACCACGCCTATCCATCGCGCTATTCACATACATTCATTAGTGTCCGTTTTAACGCTACGTTACTTTACCTACTTTTTTAACTGCAATTGTGCTAAAATCAGCAACAATAGTGATTCGGTTAGCAGTGCGTGTTTTTATTGAACGAGATAAACAATGTTTTTGTTATGTTTGGGAACTGTTTGTTATTAGAAACTTATAAATTAAAAAGATTTGGGTGGATAGTTTGTTCGCAATATTAACATAGCATATCTACCTTCGATCAAAATATTCCTCTTTAGCCCTTACAAGCTCCGTCTTCCCGGACTCGCAAGAGAACTGCCTCCGCAACATTTTTTAAGTTAATCACATGCACAAAACACACATTTTTATTCACATCCACGATCTAACTGCCGATTTGAACGCGTAAACATTTTTCTACGCGCATCCACGAAGGTTACACTGCCGGAACTTGACGCACTATTAACGTTTGATTGCTAACACTCGATTATAATCGAGTAGAGCATTATTGAAGATTACACGTGAAATAATAGGGGGGTACTCGAATAGCGAGCGCGGAAGACGCGCAAGCGACTGTGACGCGAGCGCACTCCGAAGCCTCCGATCGCGATCGTTTCGAGTCACTCGAGTGACAGTCGCGACCTTGATGTGAACACGCCGGGCAAGATTACAATCTGACAGTAGTGACAGTTCGCGGCGGGGACGATCTTATCAGTATCGACGTTCCTTGTCTGTGAGGCGCTTGGATTTGTTTATGCGGGTCACCAACCTCCTCTTGCGCTTGCGCACATCATGAACGGTTGCCCTTTGTTTTGCTGTCGATAAATTGAAAACGTTTCACAATATTTTCTTTTTGCGTAAAGAATGTTCATCCACTGTGCTTAACTCGACTACTGTGTCAGTTTATTTAGATAAAAAACTTAATGAAGAGTTGTTTACGAATCCAATCTGAATCGACATTGACCGATATAAGCGACAGTCCATGATGGCTGACCGTGTTTACTGGTCGAGTTGACACATTCAAACCAGCAGAAGGTACGATAATTCCAAGGTAGCAGAATTTTAAGTTTACTTCTAACTAATGGAGCTTTTAATTCGTCCAATGATCATTTCTGATTTATTGTTGATTTATGTGCGTCCTACTAATGATGATGATTTATGATCAAACAAACTTTCAATAATTTAACTAATTATCTATTTGGAATACAGTATATATTTTGTTTAAATCTCTAGATAGGTAATATATTTCTCTAATGACTCTACATTTTTACCAAGAATAACATCGTTCTCGGCTCGTAGGTAAGAAAAATTTCTAAATTCTTAGTAGTTAGCATCGATGCTGTAAGAATGGGCCATGGGCCGGAGGCAGGCGCTAGTGAGGTGTCAGCTCGCAGCATTGACCGACATAGCGCATCGCCGCGATTTCAAAACTGATCGCTTTGACGCGATCGCTACTGGCTAGCCTTCGTGGGTCCGACCTTCCACTAAGTTTAGTATTGTCTGCAATTGTTTTTTTTATTTTTATTCAACTGCATAAACCTAGGCAGGTATTTGAGCGCAGTCTCACCTCATGTTAAGATGCAGTCTAACGCTTAGAATCTAGGGTGGGGGGAATCATTTAATTCCTTCCCGAGTTCCCTATGAATTCTTGTCTAATTTTTTCTTCGTTCTCTATCTTTCTAACCGTTCGTGTGCACCTTAATGAGCTTGGACATCAGCCATGTAGAAGTACCCCTTAAAAAATTGAAGGTTGATATTCGGTACTATGAGAAAAGTGAGTATGATTGTCATATTATTTTCCAGAATTATTTGAATTTACAACAATCAGTAACTAGGTAACCTTACAAAACATTGTTCTTTCAATGGCACGACTTCCACAAATGTGGAAACCTCCTAAAAGTAAGTTAATAGAATCTTGATTTGGTAACAATTCTAGTTTTTATCTTACAAAGATGAAAATATAACTAGTTTTTGAGAAAATTGCGATGTTTCGCAATACTCTACGATCCAAGTGCGATAGTTAGGCTGTTACGACTACGTTACTTATGTTATGTGACTTACGTAATCTTTTTGTCTGTGACTTACTGACTTCTGTACACTCGGAAGCATATTTGTCTCACAAATTCTAAAATTTTACTCTCCTATTCACCTCAAAGATTCGAAGTGTAGAGTCGTTTTTGAATTTGTATGCCATATTAAATAAATAAATAAATATCATATCATAATTTGTATGCCATATTAAATAAATAAATATAATCATTAGATAAAGACAATATTCTTTGTTGTCAGAAAATCATTTTCAATTTCGTTAGCAACATAATAAGTAGGTCGTATAGCTGACCTGGCAGTTCATTAATCCGTTATCAATAAAACACGAGGATAGCCGGTGAACACCGTGTGCATATCGTGATATGCTCTAGTCATGACAAAAGCGGGGTTTATCTAACAGTTGTGATAACGAATAATAACAATATTACAGAAAAAGGCCACAAACACAAGCAAATCAAAATATTTACTGTTATGTCACGCAAGCAACCCATTTAAAGAAATACTTGGCATATTTATCTACAATTTAATTTAATTTAATGCAATGTTAACCTTTATACTAAGTCTTCTGCAAATAAGCTATTATCATTAATCACTATCATTATCATTTTAAAGAGGACATATTTGATTATTCGTTTGTTTGTATTGAATAGGCTCGGAAACTACTGGACCGATTTGAAAATTCTTTAATCATTAGAACTAATTCTAAATTATATCTAATGAACATAGGTGTTACGAAGTACGCTGGACTTATGGAATGGAATATGTTTCTAACTGTTAAGGGGGTGCAGCGCGGACGAAAAACTACGATTTGATAGCCGAGCTAGCGGTGGCGCAACGAACTAACACGATCACACACAAACTGCTTTACAGAGTAGAGACAAAAGAGACTCAACACAGAGTAAAAACACGTATTTTCACTAATTTTGCTAAGCAAAAAGTGAATTTATATTACGTAAAGGATGGTTAGGTATTATAATCAGGAATAAAGAAGATTTGATTTTTTGTTGGTATTGCTGCAAAAATTCTTACACAATAAAAATCATAACTAATTGATTTCTGATGAACAATTTGATCAAAGGCGTTAAACAGTTTCGTAAAAGAGTATTTTTCCTAAACGTTCAATTCGAATACTTAGGCAGTTAACGTAGCGTCTTTTCTTTCTATACATGGTCAGAATGCAAGGGTGTGAAACTAATCGAGTACCTATAGTTTGGAAATAACTTTTTTTTACTAAACTCTTCCAAACTGTATGAGCAGTTACGCAAATACCGCGTGAAAAAATCGAATTGCCTAAGGCGGGAATTGAACCCACGATGCCTTAGGCAGTTCGATTTTTTCAAGTTATTTATAATTTTCAAATTAGTTTGAGATGCGACTCTTAACGCTAAAAATTAAATAACTATATAATGTGTCATAATTTATAAATAAAACAATTTGCTAAATATTTTCATGGCTTTATTTAAGATTTGGATTATAAAAAATATATGTTTATGTAAGCAACTACTCGTATAGATTGACGAATCGTATGATTGGGCTTTATACGTGGCGTAGTTTTGCACATACGCCTATTTGCCTAAAATTTTATTTTGTATCTAATGGAAAAAAATTTTTTTTTTCTTACTGATGTTATAGATTAGAGCAAAGTGAAATCATTGCTTAAATAATTGGAAAAAGGCGTAAGCGGCAGTTTCGCCCTTATACGTAGGAGCCATCGAAATATCAAAATAGGTACATGTCCCAAACACATGTTTCGTAACAATCGAAGTCATAACAAAAGAGCTACTATTTGCATGCTCTGTGCTCTACACTACTCTGTAAAGGATTGACAAACACACATTTGACACTTGACAGCTACGATAAAGCAAAACGCCTGTTGATTTCTTCACGGCAAAGTTTTTTTTGGAAAATCAAAAAATCTCAACATCAATGCATTAATACCAAAAACGACAAAGGGGGCGACCTTCAAAATATTTATTTGAACATTTCCATATAAGAATTATTGCTTCATACGTTAAATTAACAAAGTTCTCGAAGAAATAAAATTTCCAAACGTCTCCATTTTAAAAGTTGTTTATTAATTTTTTACGTATTTATTTAAAATTTCGAAAAGGCGGCGACCTAGATCAAGGATTGGGCTACCCTACACAAGTTCCTTTGATGTATTTAAGCCTTTATTCGCAGAGCACTCGTGATTTAAAAATATGTCAATTTTAAGGATTCTGTGCAGGACCCCCTTAAGGAAAATACTAATTATTATGTACTAAATATAACAATACCTACTACATAAATAGTACATGCACGTGAATGACGTAAATACAAATTGCCATGGCTATTAAACAAGTCGTAATAATTTGTATTGTATTAGAGAACATCAAAGTGTCATCAAGACATGATGAACAGTATCTACTCGTAGTATCTGTGTAGTTAGACTGATCGGAAACTGAATACTGATATTGAAATATTTCCGTTTATCAATCACTTTAAAAAGATTAGACGACACTAAAAATAACATTTTATCCTAAATTGAAAGAGACAATAAACTACATAGTCCAAACTGGAGAAGCAAACAAAATGCACAAAAGTAATTTGAAACGAAACACTTTCAGTAGCAATCAAGCAATTAAAGAATAAATAAATTGCCTACGAAAATCATATGTATCAGGATATTAAAATAATTAAATATTGAACATGGATGTTTTAGTAATGTTTCATAATGTAATTTTACAAAACCTATTTATACGAGTACAAGAGTTTCTAATAAATTACGTAGATACCTAAGCGATAACAATCGTACAAATTTAATTTTCGCGTTTTAAAGTGGTTCTCGTTTTGCAATTTATGATTGCACAGTAATAAATAAATTTTAATATGCACTTGATAACATAATCATCCATTGGCGAATCTTTATAAGGACACAATATTGCTAGTGTTCGGTTGTTTGGGGTCCAAAGTACGAGGTCTTTACCGCAAGGTGACAGACACAGTAAGTAGGTTTAATTTAAGCATACACCTTCCTTGGCCAATAGCTTGGCCACCAAATAGAAAGAAAAAAAAACCTTTATGTTTAATTCGCTTGACGAGACAAGACAAAGACACATGTTTGTGATGGATAGATTTATTTTAATCCACATCGAGGAAGCTCTTAGCCTGCAACTCCTCACCTGATGGAAAGTGATGATCAGGACTACGGTGGAAACGAGCTTCACCGAAATCGTCAACCAAAGAGGAATTTGTTCTTTCCGATGAACTTCTCTTACTCTACATCTGTAAGATAGGCTGAAGATAGATGCACGAAGAGAGATATCTTCATAGTTCATGTTTAAACTGAATACAGTTCAATCTTATGAGAAAGCGTATACTATACATATTACGGTGGTATATTCTCGACTTTATCTAGTATCGTAGGAGTCGTGTACAGTGTATTATTATTAATCACTCGAATGGTTTGTGTTGGAGTTGTGACAGATGTGACCCAGTGCAGCCTTATCACGGCAAAGATAACTTTAATAACCTCTCACAAGATTGTATAAACCTACCATAGACTGAGAGTACCTACGTAACTGACCTTTTAGTGGTCATTGAACATGCTCATGGTGTCATAGTTTTTCAGAACTGAAACTGAGATAGTCACACATGAACAGGAGATAGGGAGCTTGATGGGGCAGTCATGAAAATCTGAGAGAACTGTGATCTCATGGGATCCAGAAGAAGATGAGGAAGATTGGTCTGCTGAAATGTGAAAAAGACAGGAAAGACTAGCTTTCGATTTATAACGAAGGTAATAAATATTACAGCCTGGCATTTAGGAGATGACCTTTCC